CGAAGGGTGCTAGATTTATCATGTAGTAGTACAACTATTTTTGTTGGTGAGGTTCTTGACTTTTGTTATAGTGTTCATGGAACAGAGCAAGATTTGTTCTCGACTTTACTCTTGCATTTTTAATCCGCTGTGAGATTCTTGCTGGTGTTTAGGTTCGGGGCTTCGGGCTATTTTGTCATGTCAAGTAGTACCTAATCGAAGTAGCTTTGTAAGGGCATTTCTAACCGATCCCCAATACGGCCATAAGGGTTTACTCCCTTACGACAGACCTAGCCGATCCCCTAAAAATGTTAACAGAGTATAATTTTTTACTCTAACTCTCTATTCCCCCAAAGACTTTCCTAAATATACTCCATCGTGCGGTGGCCGAGTAAAACTCCCTCTCGCCCTCCCGCGCCGCGCTGCCTCCCGCCCCCGCCACCTCTACCGATGACCTCTGAGCCGACCAGAATGGATAGCCAACCCTCCCCCCTCACTCACCCCGCCGGCCACCGGCGCCGGCTTTTCGCCTCCGTAAACCACCGACGCGCCGCCGCCGGTGCCGAAAAAAGCTTGGGGATGACAAAGAACCACTAGGGTCCAAGCTCCGCCTCCAACCACGCCAATGGTGTCCGGGGTGGCCACCATGTCTCCGACAATGACATGCACGCCCTCCTGCCGCACCTACCAGAGGCAAACGGGCCCGAAAGCCAACGGCGGTGGCATCGGTGCACGCCAAGGCGGCCGCCAAGAAGAAGATAAAGAAGACAGTGTCGACACCTTGTCCAAAGCCTATGCCTCGTGTGGCAACCTCGTATGCCCCTACGGAGACTGCTCTGGCGCGAGCGGCCGCAGCCGGCAACAAAAAACGCGGCTGCCAAGTGCTCGATGAAACGCCAACAGGGTAAAAATAAAACCCCGCGGCCCGTTGGTATTCGATAGTGATTGTTCGTGATCAGTAGTGATTGTTTATAATGCTTGTTTTGACATTGTAGAGCGGAGATGAACACGGCTGAATTCCTCGCATCATTGGGGTCCTCGGCCACCGTTGGTCTTGATGATCTCAACTATGACTCGTTCTGGAATCATTCGGCCACCAAGACACGGAGGAGGCCGAGGAGGAGGTACAAGAGATGGTGCCCGGGGAGGAGGTGGTGGAGGTGACCGAGAGGATGGTGATGGTGGCCGAGAGGATGTCTAGGTTGATTTCTATGCCGAGGACGTCGTTTAAGTGGTGGTGGCCGAGAGAGTGGTGGTACATGCCAAAGATTGGCTCGATCCACAACATATACATGCTATGTTTGTGGTGATTTTGAATCAAATATTGTGTTTCAAGTGATGCCCTTTGGGTGAACTTCGCATGTTTAAATTTGAAAAATGCGGTGATGAAACCTTATGTTGACGCTTATTGCTGTCCATGCTTTAATTTGAATGATTTTAAGATATGTATTGTGCAGATTGTGTTTGTGTGGCTAGTATACAAAACGGCCACAAATTTGATTTTACTCCGCTAACTATAGGGGATCGGCTATGTGCAGCCACCGTTAGAGGAGTAAAATTTTACTCGACTAACTTTACTTCAAATTTTACTCCACCAACTTTTAGGGGATCGGTTAGATGTTGGTTGGAAACTGGAAGATATATGAGTGTAGAAGTAGAACTACTATTGATCTAAGAAAATGTTCTCTGAATGTAGCCAATCTTCTATGTTTATGCAAGTAATCATTATGAGTCAAAATGGATATGCCCTGAACAATGCATGCAACAGTAAAGTTCCTCTTTCCGTGGCTTAAAGTTATGAGTAGTATACCTTTCAGGTTCATGTAGAAAAACACATGGTCATTTCTGCTATTGTTCCTTGAGTGTGTATTTTCTCCGTACCTCAAAACATATTCATTTCTTCTAGAGAAGTAACCATACTCCAATAGCACGCCTTTACGCTCTAGGAAATAGAAGTAGTATCTGCAAAACAAGCTTCAGCTTGTGTAGAAGGACCAAAATAGGCATACTAGTCTCTCTGTCCTTTAGTTAATTATCGTAGAATCATATATATGTTCTGGTTTTAGTCCAAAGACTCTTACAACAAGGATCTATAGAATTAAATAAAGCTTAACACCGGCACCAGTAGTTGATCAGTTTAGTAAATGTGCACCAGTACTTGATTGTTTCAGGTCAGGAGTAATCAGGAAGAACTAATCTCGCAAAAAAAGGAATAACTAATAGGTTCAGTCGTGGACTCGGACAATGAGGCGCCATGTTTGTTTCTTCCCGTGAATGAAAGGGGTAAATTTCCCGTGCAATTTTACTTCTGTGTGTGGGTAAAACCCCTTGTACACATGAAACAGAGCAGGAGCTACTACATTCTTGCTCATGTTCAGGTTCAGGCCTTTTTTCATGTCAAGTACTATGGTTTTTTTTTCAAATTTTACTTGTGGATTTGATGCAATTTAAAATTTCCTTTATCCACTTAAGTATTTGAAGTTATTCTTAGCATTACTATTTCCTTCTATGATAAATGCAACTAAAATATTGATGCGACTTTTGCTGCTTCCTCGAACTTTACATTTGATAGTTTGTATACATGATTCTCATCATATTTGCAGGGCAAAAAAGGAGCCTCAAGTTGAACCAATATCAAGTCTTACTTTGATGCAAGTCAAGTCAAGCCACAAATTGTAAAATGGCAGTCGTAATTTGATTATTTGGATTTTGCTTTATGGATCTGCTTATGATTGTGTGCCGCAACTTGTTCCCGACAATTGTAATTTGATTCATTATGCGGATTTTACTTTATGGAGTTGTTTATGATCGTGTGTTGCAACTTGTTCATGACGTTGTAATTTGATTTTGTAGATTTTGCTTGATGGAGCTGCTTATGCTTGTGTGATGCAACTTGTTTTATGTTCGCATGAAATTTTAATTTTGAAAAGATGATGTTTGTTGCATTTTCTAAGCCATGCTTGGTCTGGGTTTATTGAATTCTTGCTAGAGTGGCAGGCAAACATGATGTACAGATCATTTCAAGTGTTACCTGAACATGATATTTTGATTTGGGATCATGATTCAACCAAATGAAATATCAGCATACATTGCATTTCATTTCATTTCCACCAAATGAAATGAGAGGTGCCAAACGGGTTGTTAGAGTTTTTGCATTTTTCTGTTGTAGATCAATGGCACCACCTACTCAAGTTTCCAGTTTTGCATTGAAATCAATCCTTGGTAAATAGAAACCTGTTATAGAAATCCAAGAGTTGTTCTCAGGCATGATAAAAAAGAACATGTTCTAGAGGAACCACTTTGAGAGGAACATGGTGAAAATATTAATGCTGCTATCTGGAACGCCTGCGGGGGGCTTGTTGATGAGTTAACTAAAATCAGTTGCCTCACTCTTGCATTCCTCGAGCCGGGCCTGCAACAACAGTTCCTGAAAATAGAGGCTTTTGGTATGATCGAGAGTCTCAAGGGTATGTTCAAAACAGAAGCAATGACCAAGAGATAACGTCCAGAGGCCCTTGATAGAGTGCAAGCTAAAAAAGGTGATCCGCTTAGTCCACATGTGAGAAAAAATGTTGGTTACATGTAGACTCTGGAAAGACCTAGCTTCTCTTTAGGCCCTGAGTTGGCCATAGATACAATTTTGGCTTCACTTTTGGCTAGATATGGCTCGTTCATCTTGAACTACTACATGCATGCCATGGATAAGAAACTTACTAAGTTGCATGAAATGCTTTAAGATGGCAAAGCAGGACATTAAGAAAGGTGCAATCAAGTGTTGATGGTGCAGAAGCTGACAAAGTTTAAGAAGAGTTCTTGTGCTAAGAAAAAAGCTTAATCAAAGGGCAAGGATAAGGCTGTGATCCTCACTCCAGCTGTTGAGCCAAAGTCGGGGCCGGATTCAAAGACCATGTGCTATTATTACAAG